TTTGAACCCTTAGGGGATTTTAAATGACATTTTTCCTCACTGTTGATTTCATATTGATGCTCAGTCATGCTATATTTTCACTATTTTCAAAACTCAGCTATGTTATTATGTTTTAAACACATTAAATAATATATTAAAGATATTTTTGAGCTGAGCTTCATGTTTCACTGATGCCCGAGGGGCTATGAGATTCTGATCGAGTAAGGCCGAGGGCCTGTGTTGTGAGGATTCAAATCTAAATCCTCCTTCTCTTGTATTCAAATAAATCCATAATGTGATTGCAAAGTACATTAATTAGTTCTGAAATTTATCACAACACAACCGATTTTGTACCACGAAAACTCCTGTAATTCCATATAGCTTTGAGAGGACAAATCGATCAAATTAGAGGCTACATCCATAACCCAATCTAGCTTTCATTAGCAGAATGCCTCTATTTAACAAACACATGAGTAACTCGAGCAATGATACAGAACAAACTGACTTTAACAACATGAATTTCATACCCTAATTGACATATTATATCAGACTCGACTACAACACTCATAGATTCAGCAAAAGAAAGAAAAACAGGCTCTGTTCTATACTAAGACTGAAGCAAAGATGAGAGCAACTGGAATCAGCATGATTAGCTCAAATTCACAACAATCCTTAGCTGAAAATAAACATCAAGGTAAAACACATGAATATCATTTTAAGCTATCTCACTATTTCACCCATATTGAAATCAAGCAATCAGTGTGAAGCCATGATTTGAGCAAATGAAATGCAAGAGAAGTTTAAGCATCCTTGGTCATTCAATGAGGAAATGATACAAAAGAGACTTGGAACAGACCTAAACCGCAGAAACAACACTGAAATGAGCTAGACAAGGCCCGCTGAAGATAAGAAGAGTTCAACGAGGCAGAATCAACCACACAGCTCCAACTTTAAACCCAAAGCTAGACAAAAATCCAGAAATTGTTGAGACAGAATGATAGGAACTCCAATGTATTTTGAAATTCTCTTTTCTTTACAGTTTTTCTACTGTGAGTCCTAAGTGTGAATGTGAATGTATTAGAAGAAATGAATTTCTAATAGTAAAAGAAAAGATCCGTCTATGAATATGGAGGGCAATTGGGGCAGAGCAGGGCGGGGCGGGGCAGGGCAAACAGTAAACGGGGCAGGGCAGGGAAATATGTAAATGGGGCAGGGCGGAGCAGGGCAGGGCAAAACTATATTTTTAAAATTTTTTAATGGGGCAGGGCAGGTTGTAGGTCAGCCCCTTGCTTACTTTATTGTCCATGTCTTCTTTTCTTTCATAAATGATAAATTGATATTGAAGTAGCTAGAGGATGTAACAGACAAAAATTTGGGACAATACCTTTAAAGGATGGATCTTTTTTTTTTTAAACCTTTTCTTTTTAAACAGGCATGTCAATTTACGGTAAGAAGTACCAAAGCTCATATTGTGCATACCATCCGATCCATATGCTCAAGTTACTAGAGACAACTCATTTATTTTTGGTGTCTCATAGCAGTAGTGTTTTTACACCATCTTGCTAAGATTATGACTTTTAATGGAGTTAATTGTCTATAGTTATTCTAATTTTACAACCAAAAAAATATAGTAAGTGACCTGCTATGTAAAAATACACTGATAGTTTAAAAAAAAGCTAGTGTGTATAAGTTATACTAAATGGTTTTGGAGAAAAAAACAAATAAGAAGAGGTAATCACATGTTTCTCGAAAAGAAAAAATTGTCAAGACAAAGTATTTACAGGGAAATGAAAAAAAAAATGAAAATAAATCTAAACGGGGCAGGGCAAGGCAGGGCTTAATAGGGCAGGGCGGGGCAGGGCAAAATTTTGGAACAAGGCTAAACGGGACAGGGCAGGGCAGGTCAAAATCTTAGTGGATCAAAGGTTGCCCTGCCCCGCCCTGCCCTGCCCCGCCCCAATTGCCATCCCTATCTATGAAAATGAGGGAGTGTGTATATCCTCTAAATTTTGCCCTCGGGAGTGTATATATGCTAGGTGTTAGAATATGAGAGAGAATATTTCAATGTTAATTTACGGAAACGAGATAGGGGATGGAATATTTTTGCAACTGAAAAGTGCCAACTGTTACTTCTAGAAGCAGACTATCTGCTTAGGTCTGGGCCAAGTGCCATGTCCAAATGGCCCAAGACAGACCAAACCCGATTTTAAAGAAACATCCCAAAAAAAATTAACACAACAATGCTATATTTTGAAATCTAATTATAATCAGGGATTTTGCTAACTAATCAATTTATTGACTAAACTAATTGAGCATGCGATTAAAGGTGAAGCTTAATTAACAATCTGAAAAGAAAAGAAAGAGAAGAAGAAACGGAACAAGAAAAGACGAGGAAAAAGAACACTAATTTAAACCCTAAAGAAGTGAATGAACGAAACAAACTGACGAGCAACGGAAGTGATGAACTCTGGCCGCCAAAGATGAACTGACCGGACTCCGGTATACTTCGAAATGGGTCGAAACTCACCCTAAACGATTGCTCTCATCAAAAGTAATCGATTCGTGTGAGTCTCAAACCAAAACGAGCAAAAATTCCAAAGCAATTTGATGCAGGTCAGACTAGGGTTTTTTCGGAATTTTGGATCTAAAAATCACTAATTTTGGTGGGGTTTCTGGTGAAATTGAACGAAGATATAAGATAAGGGGAAGGTGGGGACTGTAGGGTGAAGGTTTGGGGTGATTTGGAGTGGCACCGCCATCGCAGGCAATTTCCGGCAGCAGCTCTGAGAGAGAGGGTGATAGAGGTGAGAGATTGAAGTGTAATGGGGTATCTAGGGTTAGGAGGGGATTCCGACAATTAAATCTGAAAGGGGTATTGAGTTCTGGGTCGTTGCATTTGGTCTATAGACGGTGGGGATTTGAGGAGATCAAAACGGGGTCGTTTTGGTAATTAATGGGAACTGGATCGGGTGGGAGAGATCTAGGCTAGGAGGAGGAAATTTTGGAGGGAAATCTTCATAAAGCACTATCTTTTAGTGGTAATTAGCTATATATAGATACCATTTGCTATATTACGGCCTATAGATACGTTTTCTGTTTTTATAAGATGTATTTAGACTACTGTATTCATGAATACATTAGGAAAAATAAGCGTGAATCATGGAAGTCCAGCTGATTAGTTGTTGTATTCAACTGTATTCAAGAGCTGTATCATTGAATACAGTAATGTATATTCCTTAAAAAAGGGACCTTTCAACTATTTTAAAACGGAAAGGAAATCAATTTAGCAAATAGTCTCCTAATATAACTCAACTAACACAATTATATCAATCATAATCTGTATTTCTCCCTTCATGAAAGATTTTCCATCCGAAAAGTATCAAAAAGCAGAGTAATCTATGTATTTTCAATTCTCCCTTCTTTCTTTTCTGTTCCTTTCTTACGGTTCGTACAAAAAAATTCAACCAAGAAAAATCGAGATTTGATACAATTGTATACAGAAATACGTTCACATTCGGTTTTGCATATGGCAAGTTTAACAGTGTTACTGCATCATTCTGGAAAGTGGAACAGTTAGAGTAATTACGTCGATTATTCGATTGAGGGAATACTGATAAAGGAGTATGCGTCGTATAATGATTTGGTTGCGTCAATTTCTAAGCAACTGGACATAGATTTGATCTCAATGACCATTAAAATTCAATACAAAGTAGAAGAAAATTGCACGCTAATGGAAATACACAATATTATGGGTTACAGGCTGTATGTAGAGTTGAAAAAAGAGAACAGAGAATTCGGAATGTATCCTTTGCGCATAACAATAATTGACAAAGAAGTTGTAGCCGGAGGTAGTTTTATTCAAGGCGACATTGTTCAAATGGACGAAGCAGTTCAAAGGTATAATTTCGATACAGATGATACACCTGCCCTTGATGTTGTCAATTCAGGCGAACCAATTGGGGTGTTCGAATTGGACAAGGATTTGATAATTTCAAAATCTAATCAAAGGGAGGTTATGGCTGGACAAGTATATAAGAATAAAGCTACATTGAAAGAGGTGATGGAGCATTACGCTATATCAGAAAGGTTTTAATTCCGGGTTGATAGGTCTAATGCTATCAGGTTTGAGTATTCTTAATTATTCATTATTTTTTTGTATATTGTATTTCTGGTAGGAGTTGTAAACCGTATGTAGATGTATTTAGGTATATTTGTATATTTTTACTTGACCTTCACTGATGTGCGTTTTTTATTTATTCTGTATTAATAATACATGTATTGTTGTGGAGCATTACACTGGTACAGAAGAATTGAATATAAAATTAAATTGTATGTAGATATATTTAGCTGTATTTGTGAAAGGTTACTTGACCTTCACTGTTGTGGTTTTTTGTATTTTTAAAAGGATTAATAATACATGTATTCTTGTGTATTGCACTGGCTCTAATTGTTTTTTATTGAATGTATTAGTTGTATTTAAATGTATGCTTATAAGTATAGGCGTATTCAGACATGTTTAAATGTATAACAATGTATATATTTGTATTTAAATGTATGCTTATAAGTATAGGCGTATTCAGGCATGCAATAATATATTCAAATGTATATGAGTGTATTTTTTGTAAGCATTTATACTGATCGTATGTGTAATGATAAATTATTTGCAGCTATGCATTATTATGTATGTCAGAAGATTGTGAATGGAGGTTTAAGGCTTCTAGCATTAACAAATCACAATTATTCAAAGTGAGAGAGTTCAATGATAAGCATACATGTCCGTTGAAGGATAAGGTGTATGAGCAACGTCAGGCAAGTAGCAGCCTTATAGGTGGTATGATTAGGCCCAAGCTTACAAATTATAAGAGGAAATACACCCCAAATGATATAATTGATGATGTGAAAACAGATTTAGGTGTGGATGTTAGTTACATATTGGCATGGCGTGCTAAAGAAAAGGCAATGAATTTTTGAGGGGTGAACCGGCTGATTCATACAATAAATTACCAGGATACTTGTATACAATGGATATGACATATCCTGGTTCGCACATTATAATGGTAAAATCCCCACAAAATGAGTTCAATTATGTGTATATATCCTTGTATGCCTTTATAAAAGGGTTCGATAAATGTAGACCCATTGTGGTTGTGGATGGAAGCCACTTAAAATCGTATTACACTGGGACTTTCGTCTCGGCCAGCACTTTGGATGGTGCAGGTGAGTAGCTGATTATAATAACATATTATAATATTACTGCATATTAAATATTTAAATACATATTATAATATGTATGCAATTTTCTTTACAGGTCATATACTTCCACTAGCATATGGTGTTATTGATTCAGAGAACGATGCTTCTTGGACGTGGTTCTTTGAGCAATTCAAGGAAGCATATGGTGAGAGGGAAAGCATGTGCATCATTTCAGATAGGAAAAAAAGTATCATCAAGTCTGTATCAAGAGTGTATCCAACTGTACAACATTTTGCTTGTATATGGCATCTTTGGAACAACGTATATAAGAAATTCAAAAAGAGTCATTCAAAGTTGAGCGAGATATACTTCTCGATGGCAAAAGCATACACACAGGCTGAGTTTGACAGTCTAATGGAGAAGGTGGAGAAGGTAGATATTAGGGTGAAGGAATACTTGGAGTTAGCTGGATACGAAAAGTGGGCTAGGTTGCATGCACCTATTAACAGGGGATGGCCAATGACGTCAAATATTGCTGAGTCAATCAATGCCGCACTTGTGTCAGCAAGGGAATTGCCAATATACGACCTTCTCGAAGAAGTTAGGAAAATGTTTGGATGTTGGAATTGCAACAATCGGAAAGAAGCTCTACAGACATACACAACGCTTGGGAAAAAAATACCAGGAGATGCTTACCTTGAATGAGGCAATGTTTACACGAATGACTGCAAGTTGGCTTTTATTTACGTATCTGTATCCTATATTTAGCCATGGTACAAGGTATTTAGCTGTATATATTTCAAGGTAGTCATGGACGTTGTATCCTATATTCATTCAAGGCTGCTCTTTAATATTCTGTCTGCATACATATAGTATGTATTCTAATGTATTCAATGTATTTAACTGTATATAGGTGTATGTCTTTGAATTCTGTATGTACAAATATGTTTGTATCTAATACAGTTGTATTTTAATACAATATATATTGTGATTCTTAAAGCTAAATAAAAGTCATACTCTATATTAAAATCATATTTAATACGTCTATTCTTTGATATATATATATGATTTGTTTTTTTTAAATAATCCAAGATAATAGGTCTATGTTTAAATGTAGGTGGTGCCATCGACTGAATATTTGCATACGGTGAATGATGAAGGAAGGCATTACACTGTATGCCTCTTAGAGAGAAAATCCAGTTGTGGGCGGTTCCAAGTCGACGAATTACCGTGCCACACGCTTGGGTTGTCCTGAAGAGCAATTTTCTAATGCCAGAAGATTATTGCTCTAACTATTACAAACCAAAGTCTGTTGAAATGACATATGAGGTGCCCGTGTATCCTTTGCCGGACCGGAAAGAATGGAATATACCAGCACATGTAGCAGATGAAGTTGTATTACCACCCAAATGGAAAAGACCTCCTGGAAGACCAAGAAGAAGCATGATAAGCCGTTCATTGAATTGCTGCAGAAGAAAAATCAACATTCGTGTAGCATATGTGGGCATGAATGACATAATAAGCGTACTTGTAGAAATGCTCCACGTAGAAATTAGTTCACATTCTGACTTGTATTAATGCTATAACGATTTGTCATAGATTTCGGTGTCATTTCGAATATACTTTGGATATACTTAGTTGGAGTATTAAATCTGAGTACGTAATTAAAATACAACTATTATATTACTTCATGATATCTGAATATAGATGAATACAATCATTGAATACATATGATTACACTCAGTAATATACATAGGATATGATTGTATCATAAAAAGATGTAATATTTCAATAAAAAGAACTGATGATTTTTTTTAATACATATCGTATATCAGAGATTGAATATGATTTCTGAATATTAAATACATGCATTCAAATATACCTGAATACATATTAATACAATCTGTTATACACGTATAGATGTCTAAATATGTATTGTACAAATGTCTAAATAGACTTGAATACATATGCATATAGATGAATAAAGATGAATAAAATCAGTTATATACATAAGACGTATATAAAATACAGCTGAATACATAGTAATACAATATATTATATAAATATGAAGGTCTAAATACACCTACTGAAAATATATGAACATAATCTGGTGAATACATATAAATACAACTTAATGAATATAGATAAATATATCATGTTGAAATACAGATGAATACAATATGGTAAATTATAATATAAAGGCAACATGTCGACTTGTTATGAATGCAATAAGTTGAATACAGAGTAATACAGTAAGTTGAATACAGACTGATACAATAAGTTGAATACATATGAATACAACATGTTGCATACATATCAATATAAACTGTTGTAAACATACAAAACCAAGATGTTGAAAGACAGATGGATTCAGATGCACAAAAACAGTCAATACATCGATTGGATACATGAAATGATAGTATATAAATACTGTTGATACGGTGAATAAATTAAAAAAAAATTGCTAAACTAAACACCATCTTTACCAACACACTGTCCAAACAAATAGTATTCACAAAAAACTCCCATAGAAAACGACATTCACCAAAGACTACTCTAATATTATCTTAAGAGACCTATCAGAATCAGTGATGTGCCTAAGAATATTTGAAGATGCTTCGCTCTCGCTTATGGAATCAGTGTCTATCTTCCGCATAGCATAGTCCCAAAGGAGGGCACCATATCTTTGACGGAGTAAATTGGCATCAAATTTTGTTTGTGGAACCAAACCAACGGTGCTCAGAAACTCTGCGTATTCCGCGACATGCACCCCACAATCCCTGAAAGAATACATTAAAACAGTTAAAAACAATTCATATTATTAGAAAAATGATAAAAGGAAAAGGATTAAATACATACATGCTCCCGAAATTTGGTTGAGACAGATTTGAAATGAAAACAACATCAAATGGATTAGTTGGTGCCTTGTCACTGTATGATGATTCATGAGACCAATCTATGCCTTGCTTATCTCTGTAAAAACCACTGATCGATAGATACAAAGGTACAAGCTGAGCTAGATTATCTATCTCTGAAGCCACATAGGCATCATGCAATGCTGATCTAATGGAGTCATACACTTTGAAACATCTATCCTTGAATGAGACAACTGCCAAAACCCAATGCAGTTTGTCCTTCAAGTTGACTGGTATCAAGACATTGTCAACAGTATGCCACGGTACATTAGCCAGCAATCTGTAGCCCCTTATGTATTCACATACCACATCCTCTTCTTTGGCTACATTTGCATTACTATCTGTATCAGCATACCTGTCGAATATTTCAGATATTCTTGTCTTGAATATACAATCAACAGTTGTATACTTGAAGTTGGGTATTTGGTTGTACTTTTCCTTCTTTCTTAAGTAGTAAAAGATGACATCAATGTGCTACATGTAAAATTGAATACATAGCGTCAGTACATTGAATGAAATTCAGAAAATATCAACTGTTGAAAACAGAATTGAACACATGTATTTGTATGTTAAATATCAATTGTTGAAAACAGATTAGTAAAATTGTATGTTACATACATAATGCCGAATACATGTATTTATTTGATACTGAATACATTTAATAAACTGAATCTGGAAGGAGTTTATCTTACATTGTCATTCTATAGTTTGCTGTCAAATGAGAGAAGGTAAAACCAACTTTTTGAAGTGACTTGATCAACGCCATAATCCAACGGTATATGCAGTGTTGACTTGTTCTTTTTGTAATGGTCTTCCAAATCACTTCTACAATTAATTTCAAAATACAATATGTCAATTATTCAAAATATAAATATATTTAACAGATATACCGAGTAAAAAACTTACTTTTGATAATGTTTAGCGAGAAGACCATCACGAATTCATTTCTCATACTCCTGAATGACTAATGTAGGATGTGGTCCGGAAATCAAATCATCTTCAAATGGGTGTTTCTTGTCGAATATGGGAGTCAACTTAACTGAGATACCTATTGTTCAGTAAAGTCATGAATACAACCATTTAATTATAGATACAAGGGGGAAGAAGATCATAACTTTATTATACATTGTTTTTTAAAATAATTTACTAACCTGCGGAGTCTAAGTTTGACTCATAAGGCGAAGAATACCATCTACTTGGACGGCGATCCCTATGTGAGGGTAATGGGGTCGCATCTGATGAATTTTTTGCTGCATGATGTATCACAATTCTAGCTTCTAATTTGACTTGGAAGAAACTTATCCGTCAACTCAAACTGTGACATGTACTTCTTTGGATACACATGTAGGTGGTATGATACACAACACCTCAGATGTATTATTCCCCTCAATTATTGCTTCATCACATTCAGGATTAACATCTGTATTCTGTTAATGTATACAGATGTATATGAGTGTTTTATAAAGTGGAAAATAAACATAAACACAACTGCATACATGTTTCAGTTACTGTATTCTGTTACTGTATACTGCATTTTCAAGTTAATAAATACTGTATTATGTTAATGAATACTGTATTCTGTAAGACATAAATACAACTAAATATAGATTATGTTGTATGTAGTTGTATGGAACTGTAGGTTGTATGCAACTTTAAAATACAGTATACATTAACAGAATACAACTTGAAAATAAACATAAATACAACTACATACATGTTTCAGTTTATATATGTATTTATATAATACTGAATACTTATGTATAACTTAAGTAACATGTATTTACTTTTATTTCAAAATATCTATGGTGTGGAATAGATGAATAATGTGAATAAATAAGAAACATATAGTCTTATTATCTTTATATAAACATAAACTAACAAAGGTTAAAAACTAGTTAACCTACTAAATTACTCGCTAGACAGTTATATCACTCTTTGGCTGGCCTTTGGGATTATCTTAGCACGTC